GAATGTTTGGAGTATCCTAGTTTCTTGATGTCGTTCAAAAGTACTTTGGATCCATATGGACCTTTTGCCACACTTTGTAGGGCAACACGTGAGCAAAAAGATGCTTCGTCCATCGATCTCTGACAACAAGAATTGGTGCATGAGTCTTCTCGTCCAAAACTACGTCATCAGTCCGCGAGTTCATGAAACAGTAGTCTACAGTTACTACTGGGGTTGTCTCATCGGTGTGGTCTATCTTCCTGTGGGGGTTTGCCTTAGCTTTTCCCCTTACACAGGCCTCACACCAAGACCTAAAAGGAAAGTGTGAAACAGCATGCTCCTCAAACTCTTTTCGCGTCGGGCGAATGGGGGCATTGATTTTGAGCTCAGGCGGAACTTCGTCGCCTGGCTCGGCCTCTTCGGCCTGTTCGCCCACTACCGGACTTACCCATTGCGGTGCTGGACGAAAGGGTGGAATGCAATCGGCACAGAACAGACGCCGTTGGTGAACGAGATCGGGATCTTAGTCCCGTCTCGGGAGATATGTCCACCAGATCCGTGCATCTGAATGGAGCCCAACTTCAAAAGATGCGCCAAAGCATGTGAAAGATGCCGACATGGATCTGAAGCCCGAAGATGTGGCAAAGCATTTGAAGATGAAAGATCCAAAGCTTGAGACCGTCAAGAACGAACCTCCTTTCTACATGACAGCCCATATGCAGAAGATGATGGAAGAACAGGAGGAGGAAGATGAGGTTGGCCCAAAGACGCCAAAGCAAAGGCGCATTGCCAAGACACCTCCACCTCCTGAGAAGAAGGGCAAGACCAAGGAGGAACGCGTGGCCTGGTTCAAAAGCTCGACTGAAGAGCACATGGAGCGATTCCGTGGACCAGGATCCAAGCCAGAGGAATCCAGCGAAGCGCCAAGGCAGACGCTTCGGCTGAAGTCCCGGTCACGATCCCCGGGCAAAAGCCGAGCCGCTTCGGCTCCGGCTGCCTCCGAGAAGGGCCAAGGAAAGGGCAAGCAGAAGAAAGTGCAGTTGACTCGAGCTGTCAACGTGGCCACTCAGGATGCTGCCCGTGAGGCCAAGAAGGGAAAGGGAAAACGATATCCCACTCCCTCAAGTGAGCCTGATGAAGGCGATGAAGATCCACTCGCTCTCAGGAGTTTGGAGCTGGCATCCATGGAGACGCCAATGGCTCATCAGGTGACCTTGGATTCAGGAGCCGCGACCTCCTGCATCCCTGTTGAACTGGCCACCGCATTGGGCTACAAGCCTATCCAGCCTGAAGGCACCTGCAAAGTCTACAAGACTGCCTCAGGCGAAGTGGTCAAGGACCTTGGCAAGATCGATGCCATGGTGACCATCGGCATCGGCCAGAACTCCCTCAATGGACGTTGCTGTTTCCGGGTGATGGCGGTTGCAAAACCGCTGCTCTCCGCGGGGGCCCTTATGAGCAAGGGCTGGTGCCTTGCTGTCCCTTGGCAGTCTTGATGCGCTTTCCCATCTCTTTCTGCTTGATCGTCCATTCCTTTGCCCACTGGTTGAGGACTTTTGGCGGGCAGCAATTCAAAGCCATATGGTGGTTCCATAGGCCGGTGTCATTGTCACACCTCAGGACCTTGTTGCACGCACGGCAAACCATGTTCTTGCGGCCATCTCTGTCCTTGTGGGTGCATTTGGCTACCCATTCATCATAGCTGAGGATGCGCTCTTGGAACATGTGATCGAGCCATGGCACAGTGTCTTTCTCTTTTTCTTCATCTTGTCCATCTGACTCATCGTCAGCTGGCTCAGTGCCATTCTCATCCTCTTCAACTTCATCTTCAAATTCTTCTTCTTCTTCAAGTCCCTCAATCTCAGTCACATCAAGGGGATTGATGTTCTCCATGACTGGGGCTGCGAAGGATGGTGCGCTTGTTGCTCCTTCGCCTTGGCTTTCGATGCGCTTCATCACGATATACTCCTCTGGGTTGAACCCAGCAGCAGTGAGCGCTTTGTCGATGACACTGCGGGCTGGATGGCTAGTAGCCGTCCATGTTTGGCTTTCCCGCTTCATCTCTGCCAACTCTTGAGTGGAGAGATCCTCGATCTTGGGCTCCTTCTCTTTTGGCTTCTCAAGCTTCTTTGCCTTTCCTGGCTTCTTGTAGCCACGATGCCTCTGGGCCCTTTCTCGACCTCGAGGCTGAGGGGCTTCATCAAACTTCCCCTCATCATCTTCATCATCCCAAGCTTGAAGTCGACCAGTACCCTTGGCACGAGCGATCTCATAGTAGTCGAGCTCCTCAGGGTAATTGGCCTCATAGTCGCGCCAGGATTCGAAACGATCCTGGGCCTTCTCAACGCGATGTTGCTCGGCGCGCTGACGGCTCTTCTCCTTCTTCTTGGCCAATCTTGGGTCCATGCCTGATGCCAAATCAGCTGAGAGCCTTGGCGACTCCGCCGGCACCGAAGCGGCGCGGCGAGGAGTTGGCCTCTTCAGCAAGATCTTGGCTTCTCTCTCCTTTTCTTCATACTGTTCTTTCAGCCTCTTCATCTCGGCCTGTTGCTCCAAGATGGCGTCATTGGCTGCTTTGCCTTTGGCTTCGGCCTCTTCGATGGCCTTGTGGATTGTCTCAGACTTCTTCTCATACAGCTCGCGATTGGACTGCATGGTCTCTTGGATTGCTTGGTTCATGACTGCAATCCCAGCAGCTGCAATTCCAGGACGACCTTTTCCAGCTCCTGGCTTCTTTGGCATAGCCTTGACTTCAGTCTCAGCTTTTGCCTTGGCTGCTCCACGAGAAATTGCGGCAGGTGCTGCTTTCTCCATCTCGATGGCAAAGAGGGTGGCGATGTCAGCGGAATACTCAGGCTCGGGTTGATGCTCTTGAGCCATAGAGGTTTCAGATTCCTCCACTGAAGCTACCTTCTTACTCTTACTCTTGCCTTTACCTTTAGAGTCTTTTCCTTTGCCACCTTTGCCTTTACCCTTGGAGTTTTGGTTGTACCAACTACTCTTGTTCCAATCATTCTTATACCAATCGTTCTTGTTCCATGAGTTGTTCCATGACGAGGGATTGGACCATGAAGAACCTTTTCCCTTCTGTTTACCTTTGTCGTTTCCCTTGCCTCCATCTTGACTCTTTCCTTTTCCTTTGCCGCCTTTTGAGCCACCTTTGCCTTTTCCTTTGGCTTTGGCCAGACTTGCAAGTGAAGCTTGCGTCTGGCTGGCAGCTGCGGCTAGTGCATCAACATCCATTGGTGCTGATCCAGTCTTTGCTTCTTTTCGGCTCTCGATGTTCTCGAGGTAGGCCAAAATCTCTGACTTCATGATGGCATAGTCAGTGAGTCTTGAACTCTGGAGGTCAAGGTGATCTTGAAGTTTGGCTGGACACATCTGCTGAAGACAACTTCTTGCGATGTCATCATCAAGAGCTTTCTTCTTTCGCTCTTCGTACTTTCGCCTGATGTTTTCCCAGGCTTCTATGCTCTCTCTGAGCTTGTCCAGTGCACACTGTTGTGGGTGCAGGACCTTCTTCAGCAAAGCTGAGTTTGCTTGTGGGTTCTGTGGATCATACTTAGTGATCAATCGTCTCAAAGCCTCTAGGCCAAAGTGCTGACCTCTGGAGGTATTCTTGACAATCTCGAGGGCTTCCCCCTCACATAGTGAGATCAGAGCCTGTCGGGCCTGAGCTGAAACAAGCTCGGCTCCTTCAGGATAATCATCTTCCAGAGATGTCTCATTGATCTCTGTGTCTTGATGCTCTTCGAGGAGCTGAATGCACTTTCCTGCATTCTTGTGACTTGTCTCGATCCAAGTCTTGAACTTGAAGTACCATGAGTCCCAGGTACCTGTGTGTCCACTGAACTTGTCAGGCTTTGGAATGCCTTTCAATTCTGATCTGTCTCTTACTTCTACGCTGGTGGCTATGTTCTTTGTGATTGCCGTTTGTTGTGTATATGCTTCTGCCATTGCAATTGGCTCTGCCCCTGTGCTAGGGCTTGCATCATCTGTGCAAATTGTTGTGCCATGTCTGTGGCTTGTGGTGCCTGTGCTCCTGGCTGTTGCGCCATGTTGACTTGCTAGCCAGGGATTGAAGCAATCCGGCTTTCCTGCAAGTGATGCTTGTTTTGTGGATCTCCGGCGCCAGAGCCGATGCGGCTCGGCAACCTTCGATTCGCAGACGGTAGCCGGGTCTTAGAACCGCGGCTCCGCTACCATGAACGGAGAATTTAGGCTCTTAAACTCAGTGACTTAGGGTCACAGTCCCAAAGGTTGTAGTTGAAGCTTAGGCACACTTTTAGCTCAAACACGCGTGAGCTCTGGTATCGAAATGAACACAAAAGTAAACCACAAACTTGAACAAACGGCTGCAGTGAAACATACATCTATACAAACTATGTCATGTACATGTAACTGGTGCTACATCTGATCATGACCTATCTACCAATAAAACAAAAATGAACAAACAATCAAATGTTCAGTGTTGTTTGCTGCTTTAGCAATTTCGCCGCGTGTAAGAACGTCAAATGCAGGTGGGTGTTCGGTTCAACGCGGAAATTTCGAAGTTGGATTTTTTAGTTCAGTTCGACAAAACCACAAAACAGTTGTTAGTATTTTTTGTCTTGCAAAATCTCGAGGCTGTACTTCCAACATGGCACACATCGGGGTTTGTTTCAACAACAAGGCTCTACTGATTTTTTGCAGTTTCACGTCGGGTTTCTCTGTTTCAAACCTCCAACCGCAGAATGCATAGCGCTAGCCAAACCACATCATTTGGACCGCTTTCGTTGCTTGGCAGGATCTAATGCTAAAGCGCGGCCATTCTGCATTTCCATGGTGGGATTGGACACCGAACCCACCACGTCCGACTAATAGAACGTCCTCCATTTTTCCAGTTGAAGTGGTTTTCATCACCGAGGTCAAGGAAAAAGAGCGGAAAAATCGAATAGAACGTTAAAGGTTGAAAATACGAAACCTGGATTGCGTTGCCTTTTGACAATGCAGTTACGCGCGCAGTTCTCAAAGTCCCCGGCCCAGAGTATTGAGAGCCGTAGCTGCACAAGTAGGCCACGGTGCACACAAGCACACCTCAGTTGCTGGACGTCCCACACTGGAGAGATAAGTGCATCATAAGTGAAAATATACACATGCGTGTGTGTGTGTGTGTGCGCACCTTGGACTCAAAGGACGGCTTTCGACGCCCATATATATATATATATATTAGAATGCATGGGGGGGCCTGGCCCGTCACATCTAACCTGGTCCAACGAAGCTGGGAAAGCATCAAGGGACGCCTTGATGCGCAGCTTGAGCTTAGCGTGAACAACGTGTTTTGAAACTAGAGCTGAGGGTGAATTTCCACCGACATGGTGGGCAGAGCAGGCCATAGCGCCTGGAGTCAAGCAGAGCTGGCTGCAGCGGCCACAGCGTTTAAACTCAAAATACTCACCAGCCTTGGCGCCTCTCCCTCCTCCCCTGGTGTGTCCCTCAATGCTTGGGCCCTGGCCGGCAGCACATTCCTACCCGTTTTTCTCTGACGCGTTGCTGGGCAGTGGCGGCGCGCTTGAGAATATCCTTTCCTCAAGGCGCGCAACTGGACGCTTGGCTTGCGTCATAGCTGGGGCTGCCCGCTTCCTTTCTCTGCCAAAATGTCCATAGTGGCAACGCCTTCTCTTTTAAGCGGCGTGTCATAGCTGGGGCGCCCTCCTCTCCTTTTCATCATCTCCTTTTCTCCTGCCCCTCTCCTTGTCTTCTCATCGATCCTGCCTACACCAACCAAAGCTCATAACCTCCGTCGGACGTTGTGGCCAAACATGGATTGGCCCTCTTCACTAGCTGCCATCAACTCAACGCACTAACTTGGTCGTGGGAAGGCGTCGCCAGATCCGAATCCTCGCGTTCACAAGCCCGCCAGTGAAATTCTAAACCTGCGCCTGCATTTGAGCTTGCAGCGGGTGGCTTGTGTGACCTTCCGACCTTCCCATCAAGTGGCATAGAGAGATGCTCCCCCTGTGACTGGGCGTTCAGCTTTAATCATTCAGCGCCCCTTTTGTTTTTTGTCCTAGAGTTTGAGCTTAGAAGGCGCTTCTTGTCCTCCTAGCCCGTAAAATTGGGTCCGACCTGGACATCCAAAAGTCCTCCGGCGAGGCTTGACAAGGCAGCAAGTTAAGTAGAGAATCTGGGACTTGGCCACGCCCAACGCATGCTTCTGTAATCAGCGAGGCAGCTGGCAGTCGTCTGACCGCCAGATTGTTGTCTAACTGAGAGGGCCTGATCTGGACGAGCCGATCTGCATTCCGGCGGACCCGAACCCAAAGCCCCAACGATGAGATCCGGGTCTCCTATGTTTCGCGCTGTCACCACAATACTGCGCAAGCCTCCACCGTATAAACCTGCAGACGCACCTCCACAACAACAACAAGGAGGAATTGCCAGCGCCACCGGCGCCACCAACAAAGCGGTGAGAGCACACCTGTGCCCCCACAGGCAGAAGCCAGCCAGTAGGAAGTTTATAAGGCCAAATGGACGACGCGCGGCGGCTGCTCGGGCCAATCGTGTGGAGACCGCAAGGAATATAAGGGATATTTGCATGAGACGCCCCGAAGTCAGACGTGAAAGGAGATCTGAATACTGCATTGAAGCATGAAGGAGTGGATGCGACACAGTCAGTTACGCGCCCCAAGCTATGGCATCTGGCTGTCCAAGCCATAGGTGTAGTCCAGAATCAGGGCCAAGCCTAAGAAACTCATGGCGCCTTTACAATTTGTTCACCCGCTCTCATCTTTCGCTTGAGAAGGTGGCCATATGACAAGGAGACTTTCAAAGAAGAGCGCCATCTCAAGTGGAGCGCGGCCAGCATGAGCTCTGAAAGCTCCTTGTAGCTGAGACCGAAATCTCAATCAGAAGCATCGGGGAAAAACACAAGTGAGACACGGATAGCATAGAGACAGCATGCGGTGCAAAATGAAGTCAAAAGGAAGGAGGAATGAAGGAACAAGGAGAAAAGAGAGAAGAGCGCCAACGTACCTGTGCACATATGAGTGTCCCCAACGCCGAAAGTATTTTGGGTCGGCCCCTATCGGTTTCCACTGTTTGGGAACGCAGGCAATGCCCCCCTTTCAATCAAGAAAGGTTATCGGTATCGCCTTGACCCCTATCGGCTTGCAAGGAGTTCATCAATTCAGGAATACATCAGGCGGCTCATGACTAAAGTACATGTACAAAAGTTGAGTCGGATGCTACTAGTAACAAGAAGCTACTAGTAACAAGGGCATTACTAGTTACTAGTAACAAGAAGCTACTAGTAGATGTCAAAAGGGATACGTGGAGGTTGCGATGTGAGGCTTCTAATGGAAAGACACAGGGTCTATGCGGGGGCCGCGCCGTGGCAATGTGTGCATGAGATGTTCCTAGTAGCGTCCTTGCTCCTACTAGTAAGGCCAGGAGCCCCTGGTAGCGTTCTTGTTCCTAGTAGCGCTGACCCTACCAGCGTCCTTGCTCCTAGTAGTATGGCCAGGAGCCCCAAGTAGCATCCTTGTTCCTAGCGTGAGATGTTTTTGGTTATTTTGGAAAGGCCAACGGATCACGCAACCAAACGACCAACCCAACTCCTGGCACACGCAAGGGTTGAAAGCTCCAGGAAGAGCAGAGACCTTTCGTGAGTTCCAAATTTCTTTACGGTCTGACTACAAACATCTACAAAATAACACAAGTAACGAGGGCATCGCTACTAATGAGTAACAGGGGCATGCGGCATGCCCTTGTTACTATAGTAGGGATGCCCTTCAAAGAAATCTTGCTTCTTCGGTTGCGTCACTTTCTTGAGCCACTCTGGGCCCCAAGCCAACGCATCGGAAGACTTCCGCCTTTGCAAAAGCGGGTGTCGAAGATCCGTTTTGCTCTCCCGCAAATTCCACATATTCCACGTCGACAGACTGCCAAGGCCATCCTCGCAGGCAGGCGCGTTCCCTCGTCAGCAAAATGGCATTCAAAAAGAAAAACTAGTAGCGATGCCAGGAGCCCCTAGTAGCGTCCTTGTTCCTAGGCGTAAAAAGATCCCCAATTTTGGCTGTTTCAGGTCTTTGGCTGTTCTATTTTCTTCCCTCCTGTTCCCTGCTTGTTTCTTTATATTCACTGGTGGGCGCGGAGGACAGCCCACCAGCTGGTCCACAATATGTCATATGTCATACACAGGGCATCAGCATCCTTGCCTCAAGAAACATCACATTAGGCAGTAGGAATACACTAACTTCGAAGCCTGATTTCCGCAACGGCAAAGGGCCGCAAACCCATGAAATGTCCCCCACCGCCCCTGCGTTACTTCCATTATCTAGACTTTCGCAGTGGCCGGCGCACTTGTTGCCGATGTTGGCCATGCCTTTTGGTTGAGACCCCTTGAGGAAGCTCTTTGAGGCCTTCTTTCGCTGAAAATATCTCATCCTTACGCAATCTCTGCGTGGGGAGGGCTGTCGCACCTATTGTCAATTCAATGTTCGTTGCCATCAGACAGTCAGACATGCTTCATGTTTTTCAATCAAAGCAACCATGGAAGACGCAAAGTGAGCGACTGCGAAACAGAAGGTGAAGAGCCAAGTTCCAGAAGTTGACCGCTAGATCTGAATGCTAAGGAGGCAGGGCCACGGGCTTTAAACAATGACAATGACGTTGACTTCCGTTTACTCAATCGCATGAGTGGTAAAAAACGTGCCCACAAGGCATTTGCAGGGTTTGGACTACGTAACCCCAGGTCCAAAGATTGCATCTTACAGCACGGCGACATGCCGACATTCTTTAAGCATACCCGAAACAATATTACACTGTCTATGTCTGCGCCCAAACGAATGGCAAGCCGTCAGCAACGTTTCTCCTGAATAAAGAAAACAATGCTAATGCATCACTACTAGGAACAAGTGCATCGCTACTAGGAGCAAGGGCCTTACTAGCAGTAACAAGAAGCTATTCCAAAACAAGAATTACATTAAATTACTCTAATGCAACTCATTGCGCAACTGGCAAACCCAACCCCCTCGTTCCACTTGCCCCTCTCCTCCTCATCACCTTGCGACTTGGTCGGTGGACACTGGATCGAGACATTTCTTCAAAATGCTATTTGATTTAGATTCATTTCCAACCTAATAGCAATGGCCTCCTTCAAAATGCTTTTGCTCAAGACATTTTGAAACGTTTGGAACCTGCCACCTTGATCTCTTCCTCGTCCAGCCTCGCGTGATCAAAGAATCCACGACACATCGCCGTCCAACCATAATCACATGCGTGCATGTGTCAATTCTCTGATGAGGGAGAGGCAACGCCAACAGCGGATCTTGGGGAGTTCTTCCCATTTTGAGAAAGCTGAGAATCGTTTCACCTGTAGAAACAAGAAGCACCAGATTTCTTTCTCTCTAGTAGCTTCCTTGCTCCGTTCGTAGCGATGCCCTTTGGTCTTCAGACCTCCGGCGTCGCGCCGCGTCGCTTCCGTCGCGTCGCGCCTGTCCAACTTCCCCGCTTTGCGCATGAACGAGGCTTCGCTTTGGAGGAGTTCCGTCGCCAAGACATGAACCAAAAAAAGGAACGACGCCATCTCCGATCTGGCATTAGCAAACCTCAGCTTGAAGGTGCTAAATAGGCAAATTGTTGAAGCCAAGTAAACCAAGGATCGAATTCGTTCCAAGAAGAACCTCTTGAGTCTGGAAATGCTTCAAAAGTAAGAGCTCCTGGGCTAAGAATTGTAGATTCAGATTGGAGGCCGTTGAACGTGTGCAAAAGACAAAAACATATCAAACAGTTCAAGGTTTCAAGGTCAGGGGTTTGCACGTGTCCTGCGCGGCAGCACTGCCTGAAATCCAGCAACTTCCGGCAATCCATTTGACTGAACTAGGAACAAGAAGCTACTAGTAACAAGTGCATCGCTACTAGTAACAAGTGCCTTACTAGTAGTAACAAGAAGTAAGAACAAACATATACAGCGAGCAACAGGTCACAAGGAATTTCCCTCGTCGATGCACTTGGTACTAGTAGCTTCTTGAGTAAGGCACTTGTTACTACTAGCGATGCACTTGTTACTAGTAGCTTCTTGTTACTACTAGTAAGGCACTTGTTACTACTAGCGATGCACTTGTTACTACATTGGGGGAAAAATGGCATCAGCATAACTCCAACTGCACCTACTTGTCTTCCACTGTTCCACATGTCGTCGGGCACTCAGTGCATGACTGTTTTGCAAAGCGCCTTTTGCTGCCTCCACGCAAATTTGGTCAAAACCCATACAAAACCAATGCAACAGAATGAAGACTGACTGCAGCCGTTCTTTCCGGGAAGTTCTCCGTTTGCCACCAATGAAATCAAATATCAAAACAAGGGCATGATTCATGAAACAATATTGATGTGTAAATGCCGAATTGAGGTGCGCAATTCCTTGCAAGTACACCAATGCACACACGAATGTTGATGTTATTCTCGGAATGCCTACATGGCCAAATCACAATGGACATACGCTAAACAATTACAGTAACAGCCTGGACAGGTGCCATATCACAGCACACAGGTGCTCACGAAAGGCAACACTTGCAGAAAAAGAAAAACCAGACCTATGGAACTTACTAGAAAAACACTTAGAGAGAATATATAACTTGTTACCCAGGAACTCGCACGCCACTTTTTCTGACAAGGGACCTGACAGAGTATACAATGCGCTGGGCTACTCTAAAAACAGTGAAAGAGAAACCGGGCAGGGGCTCCTGCCCATACTACTAGAAGCAAGGACCACATATGCAGGTGGTTCCATTGTTTGCCAAATCAGGGTAACTTAGAAGAGTGTCAGTTCATGCGATTCCCAATCGATGGCGAGCTATGAATTCAGTTCCGCATGCAACCTCATGAACATCATCTAGGGCAGAAAAAATTGAAGAAACAACCGGAATGCCAGAAAGGCGAACTGGGAACAATAAGCTCCTAGGAACAAGTGCATCGCTACTAGGAGCAAGTGCCTTACTAGTAGTAACAAGGACGCTAGTAGAAACAAGTGCCTTACTACTAGGATCAAGAAGCTACTAGGGGCTCCTGGCCTTACTAGTAGTAACAAGAAGCTACTAGGAACAAGTGCCACGCTAGTACTAACAGGTGCCTTACTACTAGTAACAAGAAGCTAGTAGAAACAATAGTTCGGGTCCACCTTCGCTTCCTCGCTTCGTCGTTGGTTCCCGCTCTTGGCCTCTCGGAGGAGCTTCCGGCGAGTGGCCGAGGCGATGCTCTCACCAGCCTAGGAGCAAAGGGCCTTACTACTAGGAGCAAAGGACGCTGCTAGGGGCTCCTGGCCGTACTACTAGTAACAAGAAGCTACTAGGAGCAAAGGGCATCGCTACCAGGAGCAAATTGAGAAAAACTGGTCTTTATCTCATGAGGGTTGGAGGCCATCGCTGTTCTTATCTCTATGATATTCTAATTGTCACGCGAAATTGACGAATCAAGCAATAGGAGACAGCTTGGCTTGACACAATTGCCAACATGAGGGCCTACATGCTCACAGCGTGAGAAACCTGTATTCTGTATCCTTTGAAGAATCCTGTGGGTGGAGCTACTGGGGGCTCCTGGCATCGCTACTGGGAGCGCTATTAGGGGCCTCCTGGCCTTACTAGTAGGGACAAGGACGCTACTAGTAACAAGAAGCTACTAGGAACGGTCTTTGAAGTATCTCGTAAGGCACTGTTCCTAGTAGTAAGGCACTTGTTCCTACGAGCAAGATTTATCGGCGCATTTCGAGTGTACCGCTGCGTCGCACGTTGCACGTTCTCGACTTCAAGACCGTCGGGGCGGTGCTACTTTGACTTTCGCTACGCGCCCACTGTATACTCTTAACACTTGCGGTGTCCGATCCACTCTTGGAGTTGGCTTCGAAACTCTTCAGAAACATGAAGAACAAACTTTGTGGGTTTTGTGCATTCACCCAGTGTGCAATAAATTTTGGTTAGAATGATCAGAGAGAGGATCGACATAGGTAGCAGGTAGCAGTCAGGACACATCAAAATGCAAGCAATGATGTGAAAGGATGTGAAAGCAAAGCGTGCGGCCAAGAAAAATAACAGAAGAATTGAACTGGGGGGGTTGACGGTGTAGATAGCTAAGCTAAGCAAATAACTGGGTAAGTGCGGTAGAAAGCGATCCAAAAGCTACTACCGATCGGACGCAGGAAAGCTTAGGCTTTCTGGAAGAACCCGTCGCACTGTTCATTTGGTTCCCAGATTTTGAGGGAAATGTAACTACTAGCGATGGCCTCCAACTTAATAACGATGGCCTCCAGCCTAGATTTTGGGGGAAACTTGACGTGAAATCTTCTTGGGACTCAAATTCCTGTCTTCTTCGTCTTGAACACATGCCACATGCATGACATGTGCTTACACAGTGAACGTAGTGAACGTGTGTTCATACACATCGCATGTAGATTGCACAGGTGACTGCATCCAGCTGGAGTCATCTATATCTTTGATCTTTTTGGACGAACAATCTGCTTCCCTTTTTGCCGTCTTTTTCATACTTATCATACTTAAACATTAACACTTCTGTAGGACGGGTTGGAGGCCACCGCTTCCAGTAACAAGAAGCTACTAGGAACAAAGGGCATCGCTACCAGGAGCAAGAAGCTAGTAGTAGCTCCTGGCATTGCTAGTTTTAAAAGAATTCTTCTGTTCCTCTTTTGCAAATGTGCCGAACAGAAGTGTCCTTTCCTTTGTTCTCTCAGCTTTGGGCGGCGATGTTTTCTCGCCCGAAGTCTCGCAGCAACGCTGCTGCACCCAAGGCCACACGTAGAATCGAGGCCTCCGCTGCTCCACGGACCTCAAAACCGAACGATTCAAATTAGTAGCGTCCTTTGCTTTTAATTACACTTAATTCTATTTACTTATTGATGCTTACTTATTAAGTCTAATTCTAATAGCAAACATTGTTACTACTAGTAAGGCCCTTGTTACTAGTAGCGATGCCCTTTGCTCCTAGTAGCGTCCTTTGTTATATAAAAAACATGTTTAAAATTTTAAAAAAAGAATTCAATGCGTTTTTTGATCCAAATTCACTGTGTTTATTTTTGGTATGGTGTGTCAAGTTTCAACCTCCAAATGAACAAGCCATGATTCAGCATCTGACCAAGGCTGCTTCTGCTCCATCCATCCCATGTGGCCTTTGAGGACCACGGCTTCTGCTATTGTTTCTTTTAGTTCGCCCTCACTAAATAGGCGTCCACATGTGCCTACCTAATTAAGGGAGTAAGCCTCTAGCTACTGGACGCACGATATCTCACGCTTAGATTCTTAAGGGATCTTAGGGGAACTTAACAAGTGCATCCCATGTTCACCCGACCATACTTGACGCAACATTCTTCGCGGCGGAATGGAGCACTCCAAACCGGCCTCGACGCAAGTTCACAAAGAAGGCAACACACGTCCAATGTTTCTGCCTTAGTAACAGGGGCAATACTACTAGTAGCTAAGGCATTATTACTAGTGGCAAGAAGCTCCTAGTAGCCAGGGCATTACTGCTAGATTCCAGCTAAGGCCCTTTCATAGCAAGCAAAGCGAGAGAGAGAGTATTCTCACAAAGTCGGACAGTGAGCTTCTAGTCTCTATACCTCATACCGTCTTCGAAGCAGGTGAAATGATGTGAAATGCATTCTGCACGTCTTCTAGGAGCAAGAAGCTAGTAGAAACAAGCGCCACGCTAGTAGTAACAGGTGCCTTACTAGTAGTAACAAAAAGCTAGTAGTAACAAGGGCCATCGCCCGCTCCCTCCCTACTACGCTAGAGGCCATCGCTAGTCGGCTTGGAGGCCATCGCTATGGAGGCCATCACTTGTTACTAGTAGCTTCTTGTTACTACTAGTAAGGCACCTGTTACTACTAGCGTGGCACTTGTTACTACAAGCTTCTTGGTACTACTAGCCCCTGCTCACCTGCTCAGCCGTCTCAACACACCTGTCTCACATCAAGCCCTGCTCAGCTGAGGCCAAAGACGGCAGCTGTGAAGGCCGTCTGACGACGAGCGGTGTGGCAATACCGGTGTATCGAAACAGAAACAGAACGAACCAGAAAAGAAAATGACAAGGAAAGACAACCTAAGAGCGATGGCCTCCAACCTAGTAACGATGGCCTCACCTCCAACCTACAAGCGATGGCCTCCAACTGGAGAAAAGGCAATAACATCAACACAAAAGATAAGAAAGCAGAGCAATGGAGCAATGAAAGCAGAGCAATGGATAGACAGGCAAGAGAAAAGAAAGGAATTGCGATCGATGACGACGGATTGCCATGGAACCTGAGGCCAGAATCTAAGGTCGAAGTTTGTCGTCTGCTTGTGCTGTTGGGAGCAACTAGGACGCTACTAGGGGCTCCTGGCATCGCTACTAGGAGCAAGGGCCTTACTACTAGTAACAAGAAGCTAGTAGAAACAAGAATTAGTAATTAAACTAGACATTTAATTCCAATTAAATGTTGAATGATGTTGAATGTCCTTTGCAGGTCCTTTGCGGTTGGAGGCCGCGAGTAGGTTGGATAGGGGTCTGGACATCCAAGATTTTGCGATCCACGGAGAATACTTCTCACGGGGCAGGATGGGGCTGATCAAAGTGTGAGGGGATGTTCGCGTGGGGTCAAAAGAGACTGGCTGCAAACCTTCATAAAGTTGAATCTTGTCCAACATCTGCTGTTGTTGCTGCAAAACCCTAAGTCCAATAACTGCAAACAATGTCAAGTGAGCAAGTCGCGAGCAAGTCGTTTTGCGCGAAGTGTGTATCTGTTTAGTGCATCTTCTGGGTCTGACAGAGCTCCAGCCAAATCGTGACGGAAACTGGCAAACAGGACGTCGACGGCAAACAGCACAGGAATTGATTGGGTGCCGCTTTGCTGTGCCTCTACTGTTAGAGGGAAAACGCGAAAAAGTGAGCAATAACAAGGACATTACTACTAGCAAGGGCAGTCCTACTGGTAGCTAGAAGCTCTCCTAGCTAGGGCATTACGAGTTCCTCACTGGAACAAACCCTGCCTCTTAACGAAGGAAAGGTTCAAGGGTGCTTGTTGTCACAAAGTGGAGCGGTAGCGTCTTGTATTCGCATCTTTTCACGTTAACAAACGGGAGTGTCCCCGGAGATTTCAATGTGTGGCAGCAAGATATTCTGCGCATATTCGCAAACCCACTGTTGTGGAACGACATTTTAGAAGCTGAAAGTAGTTTAATTTCTAATTTAATTGCCAATTCTTGTTTCTGAAACAGCTTCTTGTTACTAGTAGCGATGCACTTGTTCCTAGTAGCTTATTGTTACTATTTAATTCTTGTTTCTACTAGCTTCTTGTTACTAGTAGTAAGGCCCTTGCTCCTAGTAGCAATGCCAGGAGCCCCTAGTAGCGTCCTAGTTGCCCACTGCGCGTCCGGCGCAATTCACCCAGCTTCAAAACGTGTGTTTGTAGCGCCAGCTATTGATGGCCGTCTGCTTGTGCACCGGGACGTGCAAGACCGGACAATTTGGATTTTGGTGCTCGTTTTGGGGTCCAGTTTTGGGAACGCTTTTGAGCAATTTTTGCGTCCGGCTGTTGAAACGTGTGGCTCGTGGCCTTGCATCGCTTCGTTGCCAAGCGTTTGGCAATAGCTTGCAAGCAATAGCAACGTTTCATATCAAACATCGTTTGGCGCTAGCTGTCCCAAGAGACACCGGCTGTGGTCGAGGATTTCCACAATCGTTGGTTGCAAGCATTCTGTGTCCCACCAAGCTTTCACACTTAGGGGCTACGCCGATGTCCGAGGTTTCTGGACCCCATTCTGGACCCCATTGTGGGGCATCCAAAGTGGATAGCGATGCCAGGAGCCCCTAGTAGCGTCTTTGCTCCTAGTTGGGAGAATTCTTTGTCAAACATGTTTGTGAGTTTTTGCGTTTGTGTGCCGGGGAGAACGGCGGCTTTCAGAGGCAGCAGAACACCAGCGGCAGCCACATATTATAATCCTTATCCGGAAGTGTATCGCCAGGAAGTTTTACTTTGCAAGTTTTACAGGGAGCAAGTAGTATAGCGGACAAGGATTTGGGCACCAACCCCTTCACCCCCATAGACTCTTAGCGTGGGAAGTGGAGTGACTGGAGACGGTGTTGCATACCCGCAGAGTAATTCCATCGCGCTTTAACTAAGAGCTGGTCGTGGAGACGTTGCATGTGCAAGAGGGCGCGGAGTAGTATTCTACACTAGCTTTGCTGACAAACAACAGTGTATTCTTATTCCGGGCGAAATTACTCGGCAAGCCTGCCATTGGTCGCAGCAATAATGCCTTCCAAAAAACCTCCTCGGTGCTTACTTCCATTGGGAATGGAAATGGTAGTCTGGGGCTGCAGTCACCTCGCTCCAATTTCGGTTCCTGGTTTGGAGGCCCAAGAAGCATGGCTTGAGGGCCACATGGGCACTCTGGAGCACATTGAATATCGAACTATGTGTAATTTTCTTTGTGAAAACGTCTGTGTTGAAGTCGATTTAGGTCAAAGAGCTGCGCAAATGCATATCACATGTTCTCTCGGTCACCTCAGTGATTTGCCTAACCCTCTGTCCGCACAAGTGTGGAAGGCCGGGTGTAGCGGAATCTTGAGCATTGGTCTGAGGCAAGGCCACTTTGGTTTGCTAGGTAATTCGGAAGTTGTTGATGCTTTAGCAGCAGCACATGTGTTGAAAACCGGGGTCGCCATTCAAAGTAGGACCATATTTGCTCAAATGGCAGTGTCGTTGAACTGCACAACTGGATAGTCGTGGGGTCACATTCCAACACAAAGGCAAAGCAAAGAACAACGACCTCGTCCGTGAACACGGAGCGCCAATTGCCGATTGCAGCTCTCTCTGGTTAGTTTGGTTTGTTCACAGTGTTCGATTTGCGGCTACATCTCCAAATCACCGCAGGCCGGAAAGGCATGCAAAGGCTAGGAATAAGCACAAACAAACTAGCAATGCCAATCAAAGCTGGGGAAATTGCAGCAACTGTGATCTGCCAGCTATTTGCACTGTCAAGCCCTCGCGGTTTACCCAGAAATCATTGCTCACAGCAACCACGCACAGTGAATTCCATGTCCAAAACAAACATCGACGAACATCGACATGACATGATATGACTGCTTTAAAACAAAACCTCTTGTGGAGAAAATCGTGGTCCAAGAATTCTTCCGGTTGGTGCAAGACGGCAAAAAAACGCCTCCTGCTGAAGATGTTGCCTGCCACGTCAACAAGCATTGAGCATCGGACGGACTGCAGAACTGTCAAATCCTGTGCTACGGATCTGCTTCCCTAAAGGATCTGCCTTTTGATCTTTTAGGATCTGCCAGATCCAGGTCAAAAACTGTGTCCATGTGAAGAGCCTGGGCCCCTTCTGAGCCCTTCCGTGTCCTCTACCCTACGAGTACTTGCCCCCCTCGAAGGAAGGGGATGTACAAACATGAATAACATATCATTCTAAAGACGACAAAATGCTGAACATAAGAAACATGTGTTTGGTGGCCATTAGCTTTGGAGGCCATCGCAAGTTGGTGGGAGGCCATCGCCAAATTAATGAGGAAATAGATCTCGGTTCTTTAGAAAACTACCAGTAAGGCACCTGTTCCTAGTAGCTTCTTGTTACTACTAGT